ATATATATATAGTCAGAGCAGAGACACACACCACTCCACACTATAAACAAACACACACACAGCTATCACTGATTCTGTCCTGGCAGACAGAGTGGAATGAAATACACCTTTTACTTTTGTTAAACTTTTGTTTATTCAGTTAGTCTCTGTGCATACGGAGGTAAACAAAGAGGCCCTCTCTGACTCCACACCTTTCTCCTGAAACACCTTACAGCAGGATTTAAAGTTGCCTGTTTGATTGGAGTAGTTTTAATGTAACGTTGAGAAGACATTTTAAAATCTCCACATGCTTTTATTTTAATCCGACATGCTTTTTAACTCTGATCTTACGTTGTATTTGTGGTGATTATATTGAACTAAATTATTGATTTCTGTTTTATCTATCCTAAGCAGTTTATATGTTTTAATGTGTTTGAAATGTAGTGAATAACTTGTATTACAACTACTTTGTAAAAAGTCTCCTAAAAATATTAAAGAAACTGATATTATATAAAAGCTGCTTAAAACCACTCTCTTTTAAAATCTTTTACAATGTCAATGATCCTTTTTAAAGGGTGCAGGTTAACACCTTTAATAAGTCAAACACCTCAGTGGAAAACATGATCCTGTGTACTTTGAGTAATGACATGTACACACAGTATACGCCTCTTTACGTGAAACCTGACCAATACGCAGAGAAGAGGCTGTTAAATGTGAGACATGGGGGGATGATGCTCACATTATAATTAAGTGTAGAAAAAGATTTTTTGTCAAATAAATATGTTTTTTTGCATTAACCCTGATGTTAGAGTGAAAACTGAGTAGACCTGTCTTATTTCCTCTGTTTTTTCATCGTTCAGGCAGAGGAGTAGGAAATATGGAGACAGTCAGCTTCCTGCAGTGGGGATTCAAACCCCACCCCCTTCGCCTCACAGAGTCAGTGAGGGCAGAACGCTTGATGGACAAATGGCTGGAAGCATTGGTCAAATGTCTCCTGAGAGAAAATCCTCTCTTCGCCGCTCCCTGAGACGCAGCAGTCACGGCTTCCCAGTGGAGATCCTCAACAGAGACGGCAGCTTGTCTTCCTCCATGTCCCCTGTTTTCATGGACAGTCCTCAGGGTCAACTGTTTCACCCCCGGGGGACACCAAGTTATATCCAGAGGTGAGCTTATGTCCACGCTCATTGAACGTGCCGGAGCTGCTGAAACAAACTTTTAATTTCACATTATTGCTCTGTTCAAAGATTCAAACTTCACACCCATGTTCAGAGCAGAGAAACTTTACTGACACCTGGAGCTTGAGACAGAGATAAATTCAACATGACTGTCAAAATCATCCAGATGACTTCAAGTTAAACGTTTCTCATGTGGACAACTATGTCAAAGCTACTTTTACATTTCAGAGACTGGTTTGCTCTGTTTGTGCTCCAAACAAAATATAATCACATATTACAGACACAGTTAACACAAATCATAACTACAGTCGACCCACACGACCCTGAAAAGGAAGAAGCGTGTACAGAAAATGGATGGATGGATGGATAACTACAGTCTGGAGAAAACTCATTTTGACTGCCTGTGTCTGTGATCTTGTTCGTTGGTCACTACCTACAGTTCATGACCATAGATGAGGGTAGGACTCAGCTCTCTTTTCACCTCAACAGACCGGTACAGAAGCTACACCGATCCGTCTGTCAATCTCACGCTCCATTCTTCCCTCACTCATGAACAAAACCCCAAAGATCAGTGGTTCCCAAACTTTTTATCTTCTGACCCACAAAATATCCATGGCAAAAACTTGTGACCCCAAATATTACTGGTCTGAGTACACCAACTTCATTAATAACCCTAAAAACACAGGCTTTTTGACA